CGCTGGACTGGGTTGCGCGATGATGCGCTCTGGTCGGAGTCCTTGTGCGAGCCACGTGAATTCGAAGAGTCCTCCTCCGTTTCCTTTTCCTCTTCCAACTTCCGTTTAAACTCCGGCATCGGATCTTTCCTGTTTAGTTTCGCTTCAACTTCACTGTGTCATTGGAGGTTCAGGGTGATGGAAGGCAGTAGTGGTGGGGCTTCATAGCGGGGCAGGATTAGGCAATAGGTTGCATGACGCTTACTCGATTTTAAAATTACTATTCATCGATTACATTATGTTAAGCTGACATTAATGAGTGTTGTACTTACATGACACGCGTCCATGCTACGCTGTACCAGCGCTGGTGTGCTGCCGCTGCCGCGAGGTTACTTCTTCGCTAGGAATAGCTTCAGCGTGTTCGTGTGATACGCATTGCTATAGTCTCAGTTCTTATGGCGATGGGCCGCTGCTGCTGTTGACGGTATTGCAGTCGACGTTGACGATGGCTAAGCTGACGTCGCGGCTGTTACTGTTACTGCTGCTGCAGTCGACGTTGACGATGGCAAGGCTACCGTCGTGGCTGTTAATGTTGATGCTGCTGCAGGCGATCTCTTTACGATGATGATGCTGCTTCTGTCGACGTTGACGCTACGCTGACGCTGATGATGCTTCTAGCGCTCAAAGTTTAATAGTTCTGAATGCTGGCGATGATACGATGCTGACGTCACCGCTACTAATGCTAGCTTGCTAGTGATGCTAGCGCTCGAATGTCAATGCAGTTCCTAGATAGTTTAGTGCTGACATCGATACTCCAATGTTTAAGCACGTATGTTACTCACGTACGTTCGCCGTTACGCTGCTGCTGCTGGTTGCTGGCCGGTTCTTCTAGCGGCATCTGTTTCTTATTAATACTTGCTTTCACTTTCTGCCTCCTCTCTCGCCGCTGACTTTCCCTTCCGCACGATCCTGGTCACGGCACCAATTAATGTACTGGTGTTCTAGACTGTTCGTGGGACACAGCGGGAGATGCCAACTGTGAGTATCTTCGCGATCGTATAGGCGATGACTTAATTATGTTATTGTCCTTGCGTGTGTCTTAACCTGGTCGCTATCGTGCTGGTGTGAACGTTGCCTGTTTGAAGGTGATCGTCAGCCGAGGTGTCGATGTGTCCGATGCAGCGCAAGACGAGTAAATTAAACATGAGTTAGAAGAATGAAACACTACTGATGATCTTTATTCACTTGCGCACCAATCAGGTCCTAATCGTACAAGTAGTTAGACGGAAACACGTAAAGATCCTACTTGGTGTGGATAACTATGTGGCTACAACGGCGAGTATATGTATAAACCGCACGACACGTCGGAAGTAGAAAAGAGGAGAAGATAAGATAAGATCCTGTTTTTTCTAAGGGAGGGTTTTTGTATGAGTCGCTTTAAACAGGCGTAACTAGGCGTAACTATACTTGACTGGTGGTCATTTATTTCTAGTGACAAGGAGAGCGCCTAATCGTTTTGGCGCTCTACTTCTAAGTACACGGGCAATGGGAATTTATTGAGACAGGAGAAGGCCGTACGCTAAAGTTAGGGTGAGGCGCTAACGTGAGGTGTTGGCCGACATGTTTCTTGGGAACTCGCCCAGCTTGGGAGGAGACTTCCAAAGGTTTATTGGTCGCCTTCCCCGCTGCGTCGTCATGACTGACCGGTGGTCTCCCGCGCATGCGCTGTGGCGCCCTGACGTCGCGGCTAGTCAGAGACACGTGAGCGACAGTGCTGCTCCGCTCTCCAGCGTCACGGACATGCGCTGTAGGAGCCAGTCATGCTGCTGCATCTCGCTGATCGTGCGCAGTGCTATCCATCTATTTTAAAACTACTAGACTATTTAAATAGCGCGGGGATTTAAATCTCGCGCGCTCTGTTACACTGACACTTCCGAATAGCTTAGTGTCGTCCGCAAACTTTGAGAGACTACTGGCCACTGTATCGTCAATGTCGTCAATGTACACTAAGAAAAGGACAGGGCCAAGCACAGACTCTTGAGACACAGCACTTGTCACTGGTCTCCAGTGCGATTGTTGACCATTCACAACTACTCTCTGCCTTCGTTCCCTTAGCCACATCTAAAGAGACAACCTCTAGATATACGGCCCGGTTCACCAAGCAAGTGAAAATAACCCTATAACGCTTCCCAAGAGACCTTTTCTGTTTCACTTCAAACGGACCAAAGTAATCACACTCTACTCTGGTAAACACAGGCTCGTCTGGGACTAGACGAACTTCTGCCAAATCGGCCATTTTCTGTTCACAAAGTTTACCTTGCTGTCGCTTGCATGTAACACATTTGGAGACCAGTCTCCTGCTCATCTTCTTCTTTTTTTTTGGCTTCTGCAGCGAGATTCTTGTATTGTTCTCTCTGTGATTGAGTCTGGTCATGTCAATATGTATACCTTGGGTCTCCTCCCTTGTTGTCGCAGCTAATTTACTCAAGTTTCTGAATAGGGTCTTGTTCGGGTCTGAGGATTTGAATTTTATCCTTATTGGTCTGGGTTTGTCTCCATTAGTCTGGTTCACACCGAGTCTATCAGTTGTTTCTATGTCCTCATGCTTTATTTGTGCACTAGCACAAATTCGGGACTTCGGCATGGCCCCGTTGATAATACTTTGGTAGAGCTTTATCATCAGCTCTTGCTCCTGCTTCAGATCGCCCTCTGCCAGCTTTTTCTCCAGGTTTGGAACAAGATGGTTCGTGCACTCTTCGGGCTGCTGTAAAGGCATAACGCTCGTGAACGCCCGTGCCACGCCCGTGCCATGAGCGCACACACTGTCAGTGCCGTTATCACGCAAACTCAGAAATTATTTGGCATACACAAAGTAACTAATTACTGAACTTACCACTAGTTAACTGGTAATATAATTTATTAAATAGCTTATTATATATGAGTAAAATTCGTACGAGTGGCCAAGATTATTTTAACCTTTCGCTCATGCAATGCAGAGGAACCTGTGGTAGTAGATGTTTCGTGTTGTATCTCTTGTTAGCAGATTCAGTATGGACGATAGAACACAAAGCTAAGTATCAGACAACTTTATTAGGATGCCATAAGGTACAGAGAGGGCGACAGTGGCTCCACCTATGAGCAACATAAATCATTAAACATATTACATGTATTTTGTCTTCACGCAACACCTTCCCTCTTTAAAGGAAAATAATCGACATATTTTAGAATTCACACTGTTGTCTTCCTTACAAAAAAACACCAAATTATCTTGAACTTCAAAAGATTCTAACATTCAGGGAACATTACGATGAACTTGAAACGATCAGAACTTATTCAAAATTATCTGCTCGAACAGTTCTCAATGCACTCGTATCATCGCCTACTATACATTGAAATGGGCGGTCGGTTTCACTGTCCTACCAGACCTCGTCCGATAAGGACTTTGCATGCCTCCCTGTCGCACACGGTCGCTTCCTGTGTCAGCTGGTGTTCGTACCGTTTGCGTACACGTCACATTTCCTGTGGGTTTTGGGACAGTCTACTTTTTCACTAAACAGGAGTCCTTGCCTCTCTTCCCTCGGGGCACTCAGGACACGTATTATTTGTTTCTGGACCACAGATCCTTGATCCTCCATGTCAGGCCAGAGGAACTTGTGTGCAACTTTCCTTGATTTTCGCATGAAGATCATGTCATGGCCCTCAGCATCAGCACCCACATCAGATGAGGCCAGTTTTCCTATGTAGTGCATTGTGTTGTTCTTTGATTCCGATATGAATGCGACTATGTAGAATCGACCAGGTTGTACATTGACATCCTCGGTGACACTCCTATTTGTAACTGCATGCTCATCCTCCTCACTTCATTCAAGATCTTCATCTGAGACATCCAGACCAGGGTCAGTGTTGGTGTCATCATCACATTCAACCATTGCATCATCCTCGCTGAACTCATTGTCACTTTCATCACTCTCCTCGGTGCTCAAAATGTCATCATCTGTCCTCTTCCTTTGAACAGCAGCTTTAGAGGTGCTTGTTGTGGCCATATCTTCGATACTGATGTTCTTTCCTGGCTCGACATTGACCTTCTTCCTGCGTTGATTTTGGGCTGGTTTATTTTCAACCCCACGCATTGACTTCAACAAATCTATAACTGCACTTGAAACACTGGATGACTTCCCTACATCGGTATCTCCACTGCTGTCTGTTCCGTCAGGTAACCTCTTGAGGACAGGCTCTGGGTCAAGTGGGTAGATTCCACACTTCTGGAAACAATAGAATAGGTTCTGGCTCCTCTCATTGTTGTCAGGGTAGTTTTTCATAACGTTTTTTCAGGAGGCGTGGGAATGCATCTTTGGTCAGAGTTTGTGACCAGTTGCCGGCACTGTTATTCCAGTCATCCAGGATGGTCCTCCAGTGTTTCTTCAACGGTTCGTAGAAAGCAACATCTAGTGGTTGCATAAGGTGAGTTGCATTTGATGGCATGCAGACGAGAACTATGTTGTTTTCCCTATGCCAGATTGAGTACAGACTCACTAAAGTGGCTGCTCAATTTGTCACCAATGGTTACTTTAACCTTTAAGTCAGGTTATTGACTTTACCGACAACAGTTATCGTTGTGGACCAACTAATGACACCTATGCATATAAGCATCTGAAATTTGTTACCTGCTAACAACCGAGGACCCGGTAGTCCTTCACAGCCAAATGACTGTCTTGTACACAATATTTACAACTAAGGGAGACAACTCCAACTAATTAGGCACAATTTTTTACAAAAAGTACGTCCTCTCAGCCGTGGTACTCCAAGCTGAATGACTACAACCTGGTAGAATTCCCGCCAGTTACTTGGAGTCTTCTTTCGGTAATAATAATACCAACTTGTGGATCGGACGTTCTAGTTCGCTAATGGGTCCTGCACGCTTCCCCTTGTCGTCGATCCTGGGATCTTCTACGGCGAGTCAGTCTTACTTTGCGTACGCGACCGTCGACAGATGGAAAGACTTCGATGACCCTCGCTATGGACTATTGGTTTCTCAGCGCGTTGTCGTCTTTGATGATTACCACATCATCTACCATGGCATCGCATTGAGGGCGCGTCCACTTCTGTCGAATCTGCAGGCCCTGAAGAAACTCCTTTTTCCAGCAATTCCAGAAATCATTTACTAGATCATAGATGTTGCACTCTCCTCCATCGTTTTCTAGAATAGAGATCAGCACTCTGGAAGTTGCCTGGTGGAGGAAGGAGAACCGTAGACCTCATCGTCAATATATGATTCGGCGTAAGAAGTGCTGGATACGTCGGGTCGCTGAGATGATTCGCCGTCAGGGGTCTACTGTTGATAACTGCAGCTGCCTCACACATCAAGGTGCGCAAGGACTCGTCGACTATCTAGCTGTCTACCAGACTGGAACATTAAGGCCTCCAGCACACTGCGTATGGAACGAATCTGACGTTCCCACACGCCTCCCATGTGACTCGCAGAGGGAACATTAAAGACGAATTTCACATAGTCACATCCTTCTTTCAATAGGGTGTCCTTGACTTTCTCATGGTCCATCTCAGACCATGCTTTCTTGAACTCTGAGTCAGCCCCCACAATGTTCGTCCCTCTGTCACATCTCAGTTGACGTACTTGTCCTCTCAAAGCTGTAAACCGACGGAATGCTTGTATGAAGGCATAAGTCGACAAGGAGTTCACAATCTCGATATGTACTGCCCTCGAGGCCATGCACGTAAAGAGGACGCCCCACTTCTTCAGTTCCTTCCTACTTTCCTTGATCATCCATGGGCCAAAACAATCAACTCCACTATACGTGAAAGGTGGTGCGGGAGTTAATCTGTCACATGGTAGATCAGACATCTGCTGTATTTGAACTGGACTGCGCAGTCTGTTGCAAATGACACACTTTCTGATCAATCTGGCCACTTGAATACTGCTTCGAAGTATCCAGTAGCCACTTTCTCTAATCTGGTTTAGCGTCATGCCTCTCCCTTGATGCTTGGTCTGTTCATGACAGTGTAGAATCACCAATTTTGTCACGTGGTGTCCTTGATGGAGGATACCTGGATGCTTTCTTTCGTAAGCCTCGTCACTTCTTTGTAGTCGCCCTCCTACTCTCAATAGTCTGTCTTCATCCCGGAATGGATCAAAGCCATAGTGGCGACTGGCTTTCTTTATGTGACGCCTCTTCATCCTCTCAGGAATGTCCTGTCTCTTCGTCACCGATTCAATGATCTGAATTTCATCTGGAAAGGACTCTTTTTGAACATGTTTCAGGACCTCTTTCTCTACAAGATGCATGTCTTGTACCGAGATTCCTACCTTTGGAGTCTCTCTGTCGTCCTTTTCTCCAGTTCGTTGATGCCTCTTGTTCTCACAGCGTTGTTTCAGTCTGGAGATAAAGAGCAGACAATTCGCAATTGCTCTTTTAGCCTTGAACCAAGTAGAGAAGCAATTCAGTCTGGTCAATTCCAAGCTTGGAGTTCCAGAGTGTAACGAGTGTACCTGTGCCTTCTTTTCCTCTGCATCATTTGGCAGTACCTCAATTGTCTTCTCTTCTGCCTCTTTAGAGATCGCATCCTCCCATAGCATGTCTGGTCCTCGTAGCCACTTTGATTCTGTCAACTGTTGTACAGTTAGCCCTCTTGATACCTCATCAGCAGGATTCTCTTTCGTGGCTACATATCTCCATTGTGATGGATATGAATTGTCCGTGATTTGCTGAATCCGATTTGCTACAAAGACATGAAAGCGTCTTTCACAGTTCTTTATGTATCCAAGCACGACTTTGCTGTCAGTCAAAAAAATGTGCTCAGCATCATCTAGCTTGAGTTCTTCATTCAGAAACGTCTTTACTCTGACAGCGATGGTGGCAGCAGTGAGTTCTAGGCGTGGTATCGTGATGGATTTTAATGGTGTCACTCTTGCTTTTCCAGTGACTAGCGTACAGTGTACCCTTCCTTCTGTATCGGTAAGTCTTATAAATGTACACTGTCCATATCCACTCGTGCTGGCATCACAGAAATGATGAAATTGAACTGACTCAATTTCTTTGAAGTCATCTGGCTTGTAACATCTCTTGATAGAAATGGATCTCTCCCATCCCTAGCTACTCCCGCCAAGGGAAATAATTTTTCATCTTATTCGTTACACTCAACCGAAGACAAATACATTTTCCTTAAAACACTGACTATCCATAAATGATCAAACAACCAATTCTCTTTAACAAATATCATTTATTGTTATTTGTTATAGCACTGGGGTATACCGACTGAAACATAAAGAACGGGAAGAAGATAAATAAAGCAACCACTGATCAATATTATACAAATGAAAATGTCCACACTTCTACAGCCCTAAATTCTGGGAAACTCAAAAGTTTAACAAATGAATCTTCCACATATCCATCCTTCGCGTTCTCACTTAACCATTGTCCATGCCTTTTAAAAAGTCTATCTGGTATACCATTATTTGCTGCCGCCGAGGCCCCTCCTGATCTCAGAGAATGTAAACCATACCTAGTGACATCTTCGACATGTGGTTTTACAGCTTCTATAAACAGCTCACGCAGTGTAGTGTATGAAATATTTTTCTTATCACTCCGAAATCTAAAACCATTTTTGGTTGCGCTAAGATTACAAAATATGCACAAATCCATGTTAACCACGGGACACACATTGTCCCCGTCCTGGCCAACAAAATTCACGCACCATCTCGGTACTTGTCCGTCTTGCTAGACTCCACAAAAATTATCATGTGAGTAGACTCAAAATAAATATCTGAACGCCTGGCACAGCAAAATCTCTTCACTATGCATGAAACCTGCCTAACCTACCAATAATGCACACAAAGTCCGTTGGTTTTTAATGTTACCAACCACATACATGGATTGGTAAATTTTTGTTAGAATGTCTATTGTAATGGGCAGCTTTTTGCACACAGGCCTGGACAAACGCCGATTTCCAGTTTCAACAATATTCTGTACCAGCTTGGAATTAGTGGATGAAACAAAATCAGACAAATTATGCATCCATTTAACACTATAAACCGAATTTAACAATGAACTTGAAGAACGTGATGTTTGTATAATAGAATCTAAATACAATGCAAAATGAAACGATTTAGCTGAAAGAATGTCCACATTATTCAAACCATTCTTAAGAGCCCAATCTCTCCACCTCATAAAACCTCTGCGATAAGATGCGCACGTAGTGGAAGCTCAAGATTCTTTAAGTAGTTCCGGAATGACGTTAACTATATCCACCAAAACCTCAGGTAAATCGTCTATTTTGTCAGCAAATGTCTATAAAAATAATCGTATAAACCAAAACAAAATTAATTGATATACGCACACGCCATAAATTACCGCTCATACCTCAAATCCGGAATCTGATGCAATAAAAACACAAAAATGTAACAGAAAATAATCCAAACATATACGAGTTGGTCAACACAAACCATAAATAAATGTTTAATCTAAACAAAAACTACACATCATACACATGACAACTGTCAATGGAAATGCTACAATATTACAAACCAACCCACATTACATTGTGCTCTTCGTGTTACCTGGTAACAGCACAACACTGGACCAAGTGGTCATCCACAGCCAAGCGGCCTTCTAACAACTGTACTCTAATAATGGTAAATGTAGACAACACTACTCGATATGCGAATAACGGCACAATACACAGACCACACGGTCTTTGATTGTCAAATGACATACTGCATTAACAGTTCAAGGGAGACAACTCTTGTCCACCTGTAGTCCGAATTAGGAAAAACATATCTTGGCTGCTATCCAGATTCCACTATGTAACCTCCATAACCAGTGTCACTGGCGTCACTGTACACTCTGGCGTAAAGCCCGAGCCTCGGCCTTCCGAATGCGGGATTCATCATCTGAATCACTATCCACGGGATTCGTCTCGTACTGACGCACTGTCTCCCAACCGGCTTTGGACGAATCAGCAATACGAATAAGCTTATTTCTCTGCTTCAACCTTCTGACAATCTCTGTTAAAATCTCTGTCATAAGACACTGTCGTTGTCACACGCCCACAGGACTTGAGTAACAGAATCTAATAAATCTCCATTAAATACGTACTGAATTCTGTTTCCCGTGTATTTCCAGATCAGGTCCTTCTCCGATTTTAGTTTTTTTTACCTCATTAGAAACAGCCAGAGAATTGCCCCGAACCTCATCTCGTAATGAATTTAATTCTGCTCTTTATCTTTTAAACCCACTCAGAATCTCTCTCAAAGTATCGTTTATCTCTGATTGCCCGCTCTGCTCTGTCATGATGTAATAAAGCTAAACGGAGAAAAAATACGCCCTCTCAGCCGTGGTACCCCAAGCTGAATGACTACAACCTGGTAGAATTCCCGCCCGTTACTTGTGTTACCGACGCGCCATCTATGGAGCGTCACAAAGCCAAGGGAAATAATTTTCCATCTTATTCGTTACACTCAACCGAAGAAAAATACATTTACGAATACATGTATGTCCAATGTGACCAAATTCATTTGATCTAAGCAGTGTAGCCACAGCAGTCCTATTCAGCAGTGTAGCCACAACAGTTCTATTCAACTGTCCTATTCAGCAGTGTAGCCACAACAATCCTATTCAACTGTTTGGTAATTATAGAAACAATCACTCTTTCTATCTATACAAAGGTAGAGCCTGCACTTCATGCAGATGTAGTTTGACCTGCGGTCGCAACCTTTGTTCTTACAACGCTTGGGAACCGCAGCCACTTGTCTTGGGAGATGGCCAACACCATTCAATCTGAGGTTATCGGACACATTCCTGGCACGTGCACTTTGCATGTCCTCTGGCCTTTCTGTCCTGCGCTGGGGTTGAGCGTTTGCTTCACCTTGTAGCAGGGCTTTGGCCACATTCAGTTTGCACTTGTACAGTTTAGACTTGACCCATTCATAGCTGCATTGACAATACAGAGGTCTACGAAGTGGAATATGAGACGCCTGTACCACTTCCTATACAAGGACAGTAACATGTCACACCTATCAGCACCACCCATGCTTTTGTTATAGGCAGAGATCAGTTGAGGACAATTGGTGATGTCCACGAATTTCTTTTCCTTTCTACTGAACCTTCTAACCTGTTTAGGTGGAAGTACTCAGCTTTAGTTGGAGGTCACTGAGACAACTCTGTTGTCAACCAAGAGCACATGGCAATGCCATCGCAAGACCTGTAGTCAAAGGAACCCCTTCCTAACTTTTTTAGTTCTTTTTCACCCATAACTGGACAGTTGCCACGTCTGTTGGTGCATGTAGCATGAAACCTTCTCTTCTTCAATTCTTCAAGAAGTTCTGGTGATGCATAGTATATGTGGGTTCCAGGTGGCGAGTGCTCAGTTAGATCTAGATTCTAGAACAACCTGGCCACTTTTACCAATTGCTTCATTATCTAACCTGTCAGGAAGAGTATCATCCCCAGCTACGTGGAACTTATGCAAATGGCCAGACTGACTGGAAAGTCCCCACAATTTGTAACCCTATTTAGTGGGTTTGTTTTTCATATACACTAAGCCCATGGTGACCTTTGAAAGGGACAATTTGTTCGTCCACAGACATGTGCTCCTCTGCCTCTGCACACTCAGCAAAATTGTGTTGAATGATCTCAATAAGGGGGCGTACTCTATGACGGCGGTCATGGCCAGGTTGTCTCCGATCTTTCTGAAAAGTATTGTCGTTTACATGTAGGAATGACAGTATCTGCTCAAACCTATTGACAGGCATGGCATTTGCCACTAATTCTTGCCTTGTATCAGCAGCCCAATAATCCCTCCTACATGGCAAACTAACTACTGACATGTACAATACAACACCCAGAGTTTTTCTCATCTCTTCCTCTGTCACAGCCTTGACTTGGTCTTTTTTCTCTTGGAATTTGTAACGGTTGCTTTCCAACACAAGTAAGGCAATTGTTTCCTGTCCAAACAATGCCAGAAAAAAACCCAGTTTGCTCTTTGCAGCTAGTGCTGGTCCTTTTGGCCTAAGTTGATTCTCAGGGAGGTCACCTGGGTTTGGAAGGTCAGCTTTCTCCCATTTCCATGTCTTAAAAGAAAAAGGTCGAAGGAAGGGTAAATAAAAATGTCCAAAATGCGCACAGATATGGACTGCCTGTGATGACACCATTACAATGCCAAAGTCAAAAACTTACTTTTTCTGAACTACATTTGAGAGTATTTTTGACGTCGTACCTATTTTCTATTGTTTCTATTAACAACAATGTAACAAACCAACTTTTGTACCTTAAGCAGTAACCCCGGGATTGGGTAAGGCTGAAAACGTGAATAATTAGTCAGCACTCGTCACTCGCACCTACGTTATTTTTTGTAATATTTCTATGGCATGATCATACGTCTGTTCAGTATGATGATGGCGGTCGCATACATGTTTAGCGAATTATGCAATCAATCAATATTTATTCAACCATACGTACAGTATCTGATACTACATGAATAAGGCATAAGATATACGCTCGCAAACAAAATACAATTATGTATTTTACCAATTTTTATGTTGTATAAACATAAGCAACAATTAGCAAGTAGTTTTTTTCGACTAAACTATAGCTAGCGGATTGGACACAAGTACTGCATTTGCAAGTTACTGGATATTTTAAAGTCAATCCCAGTAAAAGCCAGAAGGCAGTGGGCATGGAAAGTATTTGTCAGCATTATTTATGAAAATACACTTTTGAAGAATGTCTTGAGGACGTATACAAATGTACCGATTTACGCTATTAATTTCCATTAAAAAATCTGACGAGCACGATAACCTATGATCCACAAATAATGGCTTATGAACCACTTTAAAAGGCTTCACTATTACGATACATGTCTTTACTTCCCCACATACACACACAGCATTACCCACACAGTTGCATTTAAGTTTTACATGAATAAGACTGTCTATAATACCACACCGATATACACCATGAGAAAATGTTGCATACGAATTGCAATGCCGTGAAGACCTGACATACTCTGTTCCAGTAAATAGCTCATGTTTATACACAAATCGCTTGTATGATATAACAAAGTTATTTACATGGCTCCCAAGTAGTGCCTTGACAGCAAGTGCCTTAGATGGCATTAATATTGATGATTTTCCTTTGCCAAAGCCACACAAATTTTCACAAAGTACCTGTTTAATTGACAGATGGC